TCGTACGTAGGTAGCACGCTTACTCGCGGGAAGGGTTTGAGCTAGTTAATACCCACTTGGACAGGGAACATCATCCTAAGATTTCAGCGTTCTAGCTTCTCAGATCCCCGATTTATAAACTTACCCGAAAAAAATTTTGACGGGTCCGTACGCGAGTACTATGCTTACCTGGGGAATGGATTTCAGCGCATTAACACCTGCTTTGACGAGGAACATCACCTTAAGATTTCAGCGTTCTAGCTTCTCAGATCCCTGAGTTATGAACTCAGACCAAAAAAACTTTGGCTGGCCCGTGCGTGGATACCATGCGGGTGATAGCGCCCATTTGGGAATTGGGCTGGCACTTGCATGTAGATAATGTTCCCGAAATTTCAGCCCTGCAGATTCTATAGGTCTTTAGATGAAAATGCGTGACAGACGCACACACAGACAATCTCTTGTCAATATGCGTTTTCTGCATTGCATAGCTGCAAAAAACGAAAAAAAAAACATGCAATATTGATGAGTTAAAGAGAGAAGTGAAAAATAACGAAAATAATTTAGAGTTTCGAATTTAAATATATCTTATCCTCTTTTATCTTATCAATTAACAAAAGAAGCAAAAACGAACGGTAAAATAGAAATCATCTTCATATGGGTTGCCACATCCCTGGCATTGCAGCAGCTGGATTTTGATAAGCCATTCGCGTTCTTTCTTCGAAACAAAACCAGCAAATGGTGAAAGCGCGAAATCGGATATCGTTTTGCTGGATGGAAGCCCTGAACGTCTGCTCGTTCGATCACGATTAGAACAACGACTCGCTCCATGTGATGGTGGACGCATCGGTGCAGTAGGCATCTCAAAATTCGGGCGATACGGCTGTTGCAGTTGCTGCTGCTGATATGGCACAAAATGCATTGGTGGTAATGGAGGTCTTTCAACTCTGAAAACATAAGAAAAAGTGGAATGTAACACAACTAATTCAAACTTAAACTTAAGCCATATCAATTATTGTTGCCACAATCGTCGTACTGACAAGATCCAATTGTTGTAATGGTAAAAAATGTATACAAAAAATCAAAATAAGCAGATATTTTTACCTTTTTTACATTCCACTTTTTTTACGTGTTATTACTCACTTACACTTTCTATTTTTACTAAAATACACTTTCAACTTCTAATAACATGTTTACTACAACTAATTCAAACTTACACTTAAGCCATATCAATTATAGTTACCACAATCGTCGCACTGACAAGGTCCAATTCTGGTAATGGTAAGAAATGTATACGACTTAAAAGATCGAATCATCTTTTATTATTATAATTTTATTTAAATAATTTTACTATTCCTACTAATTTCTTTATTCTTATTTCTTAATTTTCTTTTTTCTATTCTATTTCCTGAAAAAATAGGAATACCTGAATCAGTGATAAACATTTATCCAAGCAAAAATGGAATAAATATTTTAGCATTTTCTGACACTCAGTAATAGCAACACGTATAATGAAAACACCAAGATCATCTAGACCGTCAAAATGAGGGTCCCTTGCTTCTGATTTCATCGGGATATTACCAGATTAGGTGCAGCTATGTTCGGGTTTTCGAACGAAAAATCGAAGCCCTGGACCAATATCTATCTCAGTGTATATGCCACTTTTTTTCGAAAATCGACCGAGGATGTGTCCCTTTTTTTCAAAAATCGACCGACGAGCCTTTTACTTTCTTGTGGGTACCACTCACTGATGCGAAACATCAATGCTTATCGGCACAGCAAAAAACATTTTTGCCCGTCGAAATTTCTATTCTTCGCCACAACATTGATGCCCTGCATACCGGCTAAATATATATTAATCTATTTTAACATGGGATTTCTTTTTCTGAATTTTCAGAGATAACACTGAGCACAAAAATGCTCGGCTTTTTGAACTAAGGATGCTCGGCTTTTTGAACTAAGGATGCTCGGCTTTTTGGACTGAGAGGAGAAAAAAGGTAAGAAACCTTGAAGTGGGGCACTGAGGCATGAGGCGAAACGGTGGAGGCATTGCGTGCGAAGGAGGCATTTGTAGTTGTGGTGGAATTCCAAGCATCGCTCCACGCATCTGCGGCGCTATGGTTCGAAAACCAGGCGGTAGTTCCGATGGCTGTTGACCCAATACAGGACCTGAAAAAGCGGATAAGCAGATTGCAGCAACCAGGTCGATTCTGAAATAAATTATTGAAACCAAAACTGCTAGATGTGAAGCTCTGAAATCACAGATAGAAATGCATCAACGATAATATTATAGCTGTGCTAAACAATTCTATCTTGAACAGCTATTGCATGAATCCAAGTAGATTGCAGCATACAGGCCAACCCTGGAAGTGCAGATGACCGGATGCGCAAGTGCAGGAGACAGTAAAGAAAGCTGGTGGTGAGAGTGAGATAAGGCGTTTGTGCTGCTCGGTGTCTTCACTCCGCCCCTCCTT